ACCTGAAGGGGTTAGACCATTAAATAAATACATTGAAAGTGTGACTAAATTTAGAATCCCGAAGACTATTGAAGAATTACAGAGTTTTTTAGGTTTAGCAAATTATATTAATAAATGGATACCAAATTTGGCCACGATGACAGAACCACTAAAACAGCTATTAAGACGGAAGTTTGGTAAAAAGGCAAATATTGAAGAATTCTGGTCAAGTGAACAGGATAGGGCGTTTATTCATTTGAAAGAGGCACTTACAAAAATCCAAACTCTTGGATATTATGATGTTAATGATAAAACCCAAGTTATAGCCGACGCGAGTCCTGTTGGTTTAGGTGCAGTCTTGGTACAGACTGATACCAATGGACCTAGGATCATCGCATACGGGAATCGCACATTAACTAATTGTGAGCGCAGATATAGCCAAACAGAAAAGGAAGCTTTGGCATTAGTTTGGGCTATAGAACATTTTAATGTTTTTCTATTCGGTAAAGAGTTCGACTTAATAACTGACCATAAACCTTTGGAGGTTTTATTTGGAGTAAAATCGAAACCATGTGCGAGAATAGAAAGGTGGGTGTTGCGGTTACAGGCATATCGGTATAATATAAAATATAAACCTGGAAAATCAAACATAGCTGATTCCTTGTCGCGGTTGTGTAAATACTCAAATAATGTGGAGTCCAAGAACGATGACCACGTATATCATATTGTAGAGAATGCACGACCTCATGCAGTTTCCATGGCTGATATCGAAGCCCATTCTGAAGAAGATCCAGAGATAGTTTATGTAAAAAAAGGTATTTATAATAACGACTGGAACGATAAAATTAAGGGATACAAAATTTTCGAAAATGAGTTATGTTTCTTGGGTAGCATACTCTTGAGAGGTAATAGGTTGGTTATACCTTCTAAACTTCGGAAGAGAGTTTTAGATGCAGCACACGAAGGACACCCAGGGATCGTAGCTATGAAGGGACGTCTCAGAAGTAAGGTATGGTGGCCAAGGATCGATAAAGACGCTGAAAATTTAGTAAGAAGTTGCAAAGGCTGTACTTTAGTTGGATTACCGAACCCACCTGCTCCCATGAAGCGTCGGGAACTTCCGGAAGCCCCCTGGGTGGATGTAGCCATGGATTTGTTAGGGCCGTTACCTAGTAATGAGTATATCCTTGTTATAGTTGACTACTATAGCCGATATAAAGAGATAAAAATAACAAAAACTATCACTAGTGCTCAGATAGTAAAAAAATTAAAAGAAATATTTAGTCGATTAGGCTATCCTTCATCTATCACGGCAGATAATGGACGACAGTTTGTGAGTGAGGAATTTAAGGCATTCTGTAAGGAGTGCAACATAATGCTGTTCAATACGATTCCTTACTGGCCTCAGCAAAACGGCGAAGTAGAGAGGCAAAACCGTGACATATTAAAACGTCTTAAAATTGGTAAAATTGAAAAGAAAGATTTACAAGAAATTCTATGGGAATACCTTATGATGTATAACTCCACACCGCATTCTGTGACGGGGAAAACACCGTCTGAAATGTTCTTTAGAAGACAAAATAAAGATAAAATTCCAAGTCTACAGGACATAAATAATAAAGAAGATGACACAGAAATCAGAGACCGGGATAAGAAACAAAAGGAAATAGGAAAGGAATATGGGGATAATAGGAGAAGAGCACGCGATCTAGATTTGAATGAAGGAGACAAAGTGTATGTCAAAGAAATGTTTAAGACAAATAAACTAACGCCGGATTTTAACCCAACACCACATGTTGTAGAGAAAGCTAAAGAGGGAGATGTAATCATTCGAAACGAAGAAAATGGGCAGACATTAAGAAGAAATATATTACATTTAAAAAGAATAGAAGGCGAATGGAAAGCCGTTCAAGCAGATGAGACTAAAAACGACAATTAGAGCGCGAGAAAGAACAAATATCATTGAGTATGTAATTAATTAAATCCTTTTGTAGATGATTAATAAAGTTTTCAATAAGAAAGGGATGTAGTGTTTGTGTAAATATAATATTTATTGTAATAGTTCTTTACACTGTCTCGTGCTCACGGTATAGCGATAAGTCAGTCTGGCGTGAGCCATGGGCGAGAGCGGACATGTCACTTACGTATACCGTGTGTTGACGAGCCAGTGAAGTGTGTGTGATACGGAGTATACCACAGTCACAAATTCAATAAATACTCGTATTAAATGTACTGTTTTATTTAATTGTACTAGTGTATGCCCAGTGGTCTAAATTCGATTGTTGATTGTTGTCGCCCAGTAGTGAATTTTTTTTAATTGATAAAAATAAAGCTCGTCAATAACTACTAAAAAAAAACGAAAGTCGGTTGACAAACAGATGAAAAAAAGGTATTAAAGTGTTTTGTCTATGCCTATTTATGTATATACTAGCGAATCACCCTCGTTTCGCTCGGGTTCGACCCTAGCTTAATATCCCATACAAACTTTCATCCCCATTTTCACCCCCTTAATTGATGATTTTCGGGATAAAAAATATCCCATGTCCTTCCCAGGGACTATCTTCTTACCAAATTTCATCTAAATCGGTTCAGTAAATCTAGAGCTTACCCCCTACAACGTCACAAACTCACAAACACAATCTCACAAACTTTACCTCTTTATAATATTAGTGCAGCTATAGATAGATTTCTGAAATAAACAAATTATATTAGAAACTCCTTGAAATCCTGTTTTGAATAAAATATGACCGGAGCAAAATCAAAAACAAAGTCATGGCTTACCTATAAGCATATAGCAGTTGTTATATATTTTTTTATATTTATTCCCATAATTTTAATGACTTTATGAATTTACGCGAATTTGATTAACGAGTTTAGTAAATATTTGTATGTTATAAGAAATTTTTGACAAGCAGTCATGTTGAATGTTTGACTAATAAAAATTATGAAAATATAACAATTTAGCCTTTTGAACGTTCCACTGCTGTACAGGGGTCTCCGACCAAGTGCGGGCTAGAGGACTTCACATGACTTCCGAAAACTAGTAACACAAAAATTCACAGTCTCTCACACATAAGTTTTTGTTGTTATTTTCCTTTATTGTATAGCAAGTGATAATCATGTTGAAAATGAATGCGAATGATGTGCAAGACCTGTTTGAACTCGCATCACTAAGATTTTTTTTTTATTTTCTTTTTTTTCTAAGCAAGCGTGTTGCTACTGGGCTCCCACTGTGTCAATGAAAATATAGACTCTCATAGTGTACATAAAACACATAGAATCCAAGGAATACAAGGATCCCTTATAGGTATATTTAGAATTTTAACCGTATCGAATCACTACGTAAACAAACAACGACAAATAGAAAACTATAAAATTAGAAAAAGCAGTAGGCCGTGTTAAACACTCTATCAGACTCCATTACTTTTGTTTACGACTGCGTTATAACGGTGAATTATGTTTAGAACAAAAGAATATCAATTCTACGAATCATCTTCAGAATAAGTATTCAATAAAACATTTCGTAAATTATCTATTGAATATTGACGAAATTCGTGAATTAACTATTCCAGAGATCAAAGAGCTTGTGTTTGATCAAAGTGGCTATATTTAGTACTGCCATCTGTTAAGTGCTGAGAGTAAACATTCTTCAGAAATTTCTTATATAAATATTTTAAATAATAGATTTAGATATTTTTATTACAATAAGGAATAAATACCTTAGTTGAAGTTAATTGTCCTTTTTGCTATTAAATTTTAAGTATCTTTTTACTCATAAAGATAAGCATGTTAGTTTTTAAACTAGATTATAAATAAATATTTTGCAAAAATATTCTAAGTCAGATCCTTCTAATGGTATAGCCATATAAATATTTATCCGGTTTGGTAAATACCAAGTAATTTAAAGTAAGGAAGTGTCAAATCAATACTACGATTTATCTTTTCTCTTACTGCTTTTAATTTGTTTAAAGTTTTTATTTGATTTAATAAAAACAAGAAGATATTAAAATATTATACCAGCTAGGCGATTCTTTAAATTGACATAACTTTTTTATTTATTAACCGATTGAAATAAAACAAATACTAAATTTTAAGTGATGCTTACCACAACACATTAGTGAAAACCGCACCCAAATCGGTTCAGCTGTTGCTGAGATTACCGCGCACAAACGCATTGACAAACAGACAAAAAATCTAAAAATCATTGTTTTGGGTTCGATTGCGTTAATAAAAACTCCCAATAATAGTTTTTTTAAAATCTTTCATATATAGACAGCGATCATTTACAATTTTAACAAGATATTCGGAAATAATGTTAAATGAATATGGAAATTTATCCTACCTATCCTTCCTTTCGGTATGGAAAAAACTTTCATAATATTTTTTATGGTTATTGGCTCATTGAATAGTCAAGTTGGCGTAAGTACGCTTACGGATTGTCAGAATCGCTTGGAATAGCTAAAAGTGGACTGAAAAGTTTTAATAATCTTAAGACAGGACGAAGACCATGAAAGACAAGATTTATTGTAAAAGTGACGTTATACTAACTACTTTGTACAGCAAAAATGCGTATTATTTAATCTATGCTAATATTATAAAGAGGTAAAGTTTGTGAGTTTGTGACGTTGTAGGATGTAATCTCTGGATCTACTGAACCGATTTAGATGAAATTTGATAAAAAGATAGTTTGAGACCGTATGAAGGACATAGGTTACCTTTTATCCTCGAAATCATCCCTTAAGGGGGTGAAAATGGGGATGAAAGTTTGTATGGGGAATCAAGATAGGGACGAACCCGAGCGAAGCGCCGTTGAGTCGCTAGTAAAAAATATAACGATCAATACGCAGCGGAAACATGTGGGAGATTGATTGAATGTCTAAGCAGTATTAATTTATTTTAGCTAAATTTTATTAGAACTATTGCCAATGTACGACAAATAACTCACAAGGCCACTGACACTAGTATTATAAATATAATAAATAAATATATTGGGACATTAACACACAGCACCATCTAGTTCCATGGTTAGCTATGAGGCTGGTGTTATGGATGCCCATGACTGGAGTACAAACATTCGTGATCGTTACACAAATGAATGCCCCCCGCGGGACTCGAACCCGCGACCGCTGGCACAGCAAGTAGGGTCACTACAAACTGAGCCAAACGTGTCGTCGAATAGTATTAGGTATAACTGTGCAGGTTTGTATGTATGTGTTTTTGTTCCTCCACCACGATGAAATTGCTAAACAGATTTGGATGAAACGTTTCGAATGCTTTACAGCAATAATGAGAGTCTCTCCCGAGTCCATTCGAAACGTCGGTACCCAAAATTCAAATAAATCCGCGTGAGAATCCGATATATTTTATTTAAAACTAGCGATTTAATCTTGGTTTGCTAGGGCGCATCCCTAGGTACGTTTTAATTTAAAAAAAAATATATAAAAATATTATATATATTATATAATCCGCTCAAAAGAGCGAAGCAATAATTCTTTTTCTAAAATAAAAGTAGCCTAAGTTACTCCTTATAATCTCTTAAAATCTGCCAGGGAAATTCCCGTCAAAATTAGTCCAGTCATTTCGGAAATTAGCCGGAACAAGCAGACAGACCGATATAAATTTAATAAATTGTGTTTTCTTATAAGTATATAATTTCATATGAACTTAGTAAAAGTTGTTATTTTGACATTACAGACACTTTTATTTATCTGTATAGATTAAAAAGTGTAGTACGGATACATTTTTCTCCTTTATTTGTCAACCGATTTTCTTTTTTTTTTTTGTATAGTAGCTACTGATGAGCTTTAGTGTTATCAAAAAAAATGTATACATAGGTAATTTCTACTAATTGATAATTTCGACCAGTAGGCAAATTCGTATTAACAAAAATTTTATCCCAAGTGAAAATCGAACTGATTTACCTTAGTACATAGTGCAGACAAAATATTCCGCCGCTCCAATGGTCACAAACTGTAACCCAACGCATACGTTACGACCTGAGTTTGTAATAGTTATTACATTTTTTTTTAACTTCCGCTAGGTTTCAAAAACACTGTCTTTGGTCAGATGAGAAGTAGTAATTAATTATTATTTTTATTAAATATTATTATCTTCATTTATTTTGTATATATAATTAAGTATATTTGTAATTTTCTTTATGGTAAATAAATTATCTTCTAAGCAATATTAATTTCTGATGCCCAACTCTTAGCACCCGTTCTAAAGATACCTTTTGTGTCCCTATGTGTAGAACAAATTATGACAAGGACGTTTTGTAATTAGAGCTTGTAGATCGTATAATACACATATTATAACCAAATTGACATATTTGATAGTAATATCAACAGATTTTCTCAAAGCATTAAGCATAAACTCGATCATCCTTGATATAATGTCTATTTTGCAATCCTCTCTGTACACAAATATTATGTTTAGGTTATTTTATGTATAGTTCGTATTATTTTTTTCACTCCATGTTTACGTATAAGTGCAAACTTTATTGGCTGATGAGAAGAATAGTTTATATTAACATATATCTGTATTATAAAAGCTGTGTGTTTCCCAACTGATAATAAATAAATAATAAATCTATACATATTACATATAATAAAATTGTAACTAAGCCGAATCTGTACATTAATTAATTTTTGGAAAACGTTATTGAAATAAACATTATTATCGATACAGAGGGCGAATCTATAGTTTTTACAATTCTTGTCTGCCTGTCTGTCTGTTACCGCATCACAGAAAAACCACTAGAGGGATTTTGATGAAATTTGGTATGGTGATAGCTGGTTATCCGGGTCAACATATAGGATACTTATTACCGCGGGAAAATATCTCATCTCTGAGAAAAAAGACAAATACTTCAATGTAAAAGTATACTAATATGTAAAACTTAAGAATTTGGCTTGTAGTCATTTGAACGCGGGTGGAGCCGCGGGCAATGCTAGTCTATACTTTAATAAAACAGTAGAGGTCGAATGTTTTTACATAGCAAAAAAATGCTAAAAACCGAGTCAGGGGGATGTAAGAAGACAAATAGAACAAAACCAGATTTTTTTCAAATTCTTTGTTTCTCTGTCTGTTTGTCTGTTTGTACGGGCGGTCTCAATAGTATATTTCTATCTCCTAAGGTACACTCGCTATAACTATTTTCATTATTATTTATTACTGTTTTATTATACGTTATTTATTCTATCTATAAATATAATAAAACTGTAGAGGTCAAATGTCTGTACATAGAAAAAAAATGCTAAAAACCGCGTCAGTTATCTTCTTACATTCCGTAGGAATAAAATAGAACAAATCCAGATTTTTTCCAATTTTTTTGTTTCTCTGTCTGTCTGTTTGTACGGGCTAATCTCCGAAACTATTGGACTAATTTAAATGAAATTTTGCATGGTCGTACCTTATATCCCCGGTCAACATGTAAGATACTTTTCATCCCGGAAAATTAAAGAGTTCCCGTGGGATAATTAAAAAACTTTAATATCTTATACAGCTTAGCACACAATAACTTATGCACTTAATTTAGTAAAATTTAACATTCTGATACCTTATATTGCCGTTCAAACAACAGGTTACTTTTCATCCCGGAAAAATGAATGGTTTCCGTGGGAACTAATGGATTTCTATTAGTGTTTTTCTAGAGTATAGTAATAAATAATTAAATAGAAAAGACAGTTCAGCAATATTTTATTTTATTTTTTTCAACCGATTATCTTTTTTTATTTAGTAGCTATTGACGAGTTTTAGTGTTATAAATAAATAAAAAAAAATTAAAACCGTTGAATTTCTTCTTGCTTATTTATTTATAGATTTTTATACATTACATATTTCCTTTTTTTGTTGACCGATTTAAAAAAGGGGAGTACCTACTTAATTCGAATTTATGTTCTCTTTTGTGTTTGTTACCTAATGTTTATGATTATTTTTTATACTATATGTTAACTAGTATACATATGTTAGTAATATATGTTATAATTATGACATGATTTTTTTTAAATGTATGACTTTTACTTTGGCCTGTTATGTACAGCTCATGTACCCAATGTCGCGTAGAACGAAGAAGCTTCAATGGAAAATTCGTATTCAAATAGCGTCTTCGTCGCCAACATTAAATATACTATAGGAATATACTACAGGATCCTCTCACGTCATACTTTGTGAATATTACAAACCTAATTCCATTATGTAAATTTTGTCTACCATTTGTGAATAAAATATATTTTGAATTGATTTTGTAACCATATTATTATCTATACCTATATATAATAAAATTTTAACCGTGTCGAATCTGTATATTAAATTCTTTTTTGGAAAACCTTATTGAAATAGTCATTATTATCGTATTTAAGTGTCCAAAATACCAAAAATAATTAAAAACAACAGCCCATGTTTATTATCTGAACGTAGTCCTCCGTCAATTCAATCTTCTCTGTCTTGTCCCTTAGAAAAGTTGAACTCTATAATCAACAGAATCGCTTATAGAAAAGTGCAAAGTGCACAAGAAATGGAATTAAAAATTTTAAAAGCCCGAACATACGTTATTATGTTCGGCTGTGGCCATCTCAAAGAGCCTAATCACCAGTACCGGAATTAGCACCGCCCCTGGGCATAGTAAAAATGTCGTATTATCGAAATTTTGAATAAAATATTGAAAGTTTAAATTTTTTTAATTTATTTTTTTAAATGCATAAATGATTTTGAATTGTTTTAAAAATTTACTAGTTAAATTTTTTTATTGTTAATTTTTTTGGAAAATAAAAAAGATAATGCGAAGAAAAATTTTTTTCGTAAATAATTTTCGTCGCCTGGACTCTATCCATTCAGCCTGTGCCAATAAACCTTTTTAAGTTCATTTGTCCAACGAGTCGTACGTCCCCCGCTTCACTTGCCTAGTCGTGGTCAACTTCAAAATTCGACAAATATTATGAAACTATTAGGTATATATTTGTAAGGGTACATACTTTTGATTCAATTAATAATCTTAGAATAGCTTATATACATTTTTTATAATAAATTTGACTGCTTTGGCGCTTTAGTAAAAAAAAACTCATAATTAGTGGTAGCGAATTCTATTCTTGATCTGAACTATTAAATCTTATCTTTTACAATATATTTAATTGAAAAATTAACAAGCACCACTATTTTCTGACGTAAAAAATATAAAACAAATAAAATACCTCCATGATTCCTTTTTAGGGTTCCGTACCTATAGGGTGCCAATGGAACTCTATTACTAAGCCTCCGCTGTCCGTCCGTCGGTCCGTCTGTCAGAGGGCTGTATCTTATGAACCGTATTATATAGAGTTGAAATTTTCACAAAGTGTAAATAAAAATAAAAGAAACGTTTTTTTATGTTCGTAAACGATCATCGAGATTAATACACTAGTTATAGAGTAAAATACATATTAATAAAAAGTACATGTACAATGGTAAGGAACCCTTCGTGTACGAATTCGACTCGCACTTGACCAAATTTATTGGGTTTAATAAAGCTCCGCCACGACATAAAATAAGGCATTCGCAGAAAAGAATTTTAATCTTCTCTAGCCAGAACAATATATATTAGAGTTAAGCGGTGAAATCACTATACCCCATATAAAAGCTTATAGCCTCCCGGACACGTCACGTTGATATCACAGAATTAGCCAGTTTTCTTTAACCCGACCAAATTGCGGAGGTTGTTTTCAGTTTCTCAAGTGAGATGTGATAGAGCTTTTCTATTTAGTCGAGTAAAACCTAAGCACCGCCCTCCAACCCCTGTTTTTCATTCATTCGCGTGTCGCGGCCCAGTGCGGGTATACGTCTCTCGTTCAGGATATAAACAATTATCAACAGTTGTCGTTCACCATTTATTCAAGAAGACGTCCTTTCAAGGTAGGTTTTAGGTCTAAAAGTGTAATCAAATTATTAAATTTAGAACCCATATGTGTAGAGTTTGGTTGAGCATTGTTACTGTTTTCAACGCTCAGCTGGTTATCTGTCGTTTTTACGGGATGGGCATGTTTTTGAGTGTCAAACAATTATTATCGAATAGATATATTGCATTTCTATAGAAAACTACTTTTATTTAAAAATAATAAGACAATTGTCTCGCGTTTCGAATGTACAGTGAAAATTAGAGATTTTTTTTTTAAATTTGTCAAATAAATTATAATGTAAATTAAAAAAAAAACTTTACACTAAATGTTTATATTTTTAAATATTGTTATATGCCAGTCTTTATAATTCTACAGCATAAATTCATATTTAAACGTTTTTTAATTTGTGTATAATCATGGTGTACTATATTAAAATAATCGTATACAAAAAAAAACACGAATTATAAGTAGTTTTGCCCGCGGCTTTACTTGCTAAGTTTATTTATAATTAAGAATAATTACCTAACTCCTAAAGATCCAAGTGTTAGGAATATAACTCAGTAAATAATCTATAAAAGAATCTTTTCTAATGCTGGTATTTAGAATTACTAAAATAAACAAATTCTTCAACTTGAAATAGTATTAGCATAGAAATGGAAATAAAACTTCATGCAAAATTTATAAAAATATTATAATATATTTTTCTGTGTAGCATTATTTAATTTAACCCTAATTTAATTTCCAACAACCAGGGAAAATTCACGTTGAATTATAAAAAAATTTATCCGAATGCGTTTTCGTCGTAAAATAGCTCAAGCCATGTCTTCAAATTGTATACTTATTAGATTATATATAGTACTAGCGGACCCGACAGACGTTGTCCTGCCTACACGTCTTTAATTTGAAAATTTCAAACTTTTTTTAATAATTTTTTTGATGAAAATTATTGTTCAAATTGTGAATCTAAACCATTCCCATATCCCCTTGAACACACACAAAAAATTTCATCAAAATCGGTCCAGTCGTTTGAAAGAAGTTCAGTGACATACACACTCACAGAAGAATTATATATATAAAGATTGTTAAACATGTATAAACATTTTTATAATTTTTAAATTTTTGTTTAAAGTTAAAAAACATTGTAATGTAATTGGTGCAATTTTCATTTTGTTAATTGTGGGTAGGCTGTCTGTAACAACTATACATTCAAGACATGTAACACCTCAGTCTCTCCCGTGACCATGGATGCTGTAAAGCATTCGAAACGTCGGGAACCAAAAATCAAAATAAATCCGCGAAATAATCCGAAAAGATAGTTTTATTTAATTTTTGTATTCTACAGATACTACATAAATAAATAAATATGTCGGGACATTAACACACAGCACCATCTAGTTAGTTTCAAGGTAAGCTACGAGGCTTGTGTTATGGATACCAGATAGTTGATACCCTACATATATATCACTTTAAATACATACATATTATAAATATAAACAGCCAGGACTGGAGTACAAATATTTGTACTCATCACACAAATGAATGCCCCCAGCGGGACTCGAACCCGCGACCGCTGGCACAGCAAGTAGGGTTACTACAAACCGAGCCAAATGTGTCGTCAGATGTATGTCAGTCAGATCTATGTAATCAATACTTATGAAACTATTATGTACAATACATTATATTTTCCAATAACCTCTAAGGGCAAGGGCGCTTAAAAATTTACCCTTAGAACCGTCAATCATTGGTCATGGAAAAATTGGATTATTGTTGTGTATTTGATTTACCCGTTGGTCTAGTGGCTAGTATGTACGGCTATATATATTATACGACAATCTCTCACCACAGTTCTCTCGGATTTTGGGAGTGAAAGGAACAGAGTTAAAATAGACTTATGTATGTTAACGCACATACTTGGTCTCTGTAGGAAATATCTTTTCGGCAGGTCTTTGGGAATTTGTCAATGGTACAATATTTTTATATGTTTAGTAAGTTCGGTGAAAATGATAGTAGTTTGGTACATACAAGAATAAGCTCTGTTTCAACTGCTTCAAAATCACGTAAAGCCGATAGTCTGGCGCCTGATCTCTCACCATTTGTGTCCAATTGTCGTCCTACCGTATTGTGAAGGTGACAGAAAAAAGCAGAATATTTAATAAAAAATTAACAAAAAATCTTCTATAGAACTGAAAACAAAATCGACAGAAAAAATCTAAAAATCTTTTAATTGCTTCTCCGTGCTCTTTCCTTTTCCATAGATTAACTAAATTTCAGTAGACTAAGTATTAAATCGTCAAAGTTACATTAAAGTTCACTAGGTTTGTTACTACGTCTGCTAAGACTTTTTATAGACAGATCTCTGTTAGCTTTTCGTAGAAACTTTTTTTTATTACAGATAATAATAAATTGACATCAGGATATCTATACTATATAATATAGTATTAAAAGAACGTTTATGAGTATGTGGCGGGTAATCTCCGGAAACACTGTACGTATTACAGTGGTTCCGGAGATTACCCGCCACATACTCATATACTTACGTTTTTTTTATACTTTAATGTAAAGAAAACAATTTAAAACTGAATTGTTCCTCGTGAAAAGGTCTAAAAGAAAGTTCGCGATAGCATGTGTCTATGTCCTAAGATGCGCTTAAAAAACTATTTTTAACCGACTTCCAAAAACGAGGAGGTTCTCAATTCGTAGCAATCTTTTTTTTATGTATGTTCACCGATTACTCGAAATCGATTTGGAAAATTTTGTTTTAAAGGGTATACTTCCCAGGTGGTCCCACATAAATTTAATCGAAATAGGTCAAGCGGCTTCTAAAAAAATCAGCAATAAATATTTTTTTAAACAAATTGTTTAATTGAATATGTTATTAAAAACTTTCTTCCTACAAATTACCTGCTTATTACGTCTACACTAAAAATATAAAAATAAAAACTTAAAAAAAAAACGAATTCTAGGCACTAAAATGTAAAAAACTTTTTAACAAAAAATGAAAACCGACTTCCAGGCACTAAAATGTAAAAAATAACTCAACGGAGGTTTTCATTTAGAATAGATACCTAATCAGATATTTTCGAAGTCGGTGCCAGCCGATGCAAAGCAAATCTAATATATTTCGATACGTAAAATATATATTTACCTATTAGATGTTCATATCTTAAAATATTGTAAGCTATATATATATATACATATATATATATATATATATATATATGTATATTTTTATCCCGGAAATCATCCCTTAAGGGGGTGAAATTGGAGATTAAAATTTGTATTGAGAAGTAAGCTAGGGACGAACCCGAGCGTAGCGAAGTAAGTTGTTTGCTTACGTTACAAAATATAAAACGTAGGTAATAACTTTTTAATTCAACGGTATATAGAAGCTGGTTTATGATAACATAAATATACTCAACTCAATTCTCTTGTTAATGGCTTCAAACCGTGCCAGTTGAGCACACATTACTTCGCCAATGACACGTAGAATGGAGAATGGAAAAGACACGAATATATATATAATCAGATTACTGTTATAAACACGAAAGTGTGCGTACGTAAGGGCGTGCGACGTGCGTGTCTGTATGTTTGTTAATCCTTCATGCTCAAAGGGTATCACGGGTTTGGATGACATTAAATAACACAATTAAATAACACAGATAAGATAATTATGACTATAGGCTATGGAACACATAGGTTACATTCAGGCGCCTAGGAACACACCCGAGCGAAGCGCAAGTAAGTCATTAGTATGAAGAAATCAAAAATCGACACATTTTATGGGTAAGATAATAAACTGTACTAAACTTGTTCAGAAATTTTAATGAACAATTGGATTTCAAAAATGAGTGAAGCGAAACGATCTCTTTGTTATCAAACTTATTCCGAAAATATCTCGGGAGATGTTTATTCAAATGATCTATACCGAACAATTAAGCTTCACTGTAATATTTAGAATTCTATTTGTAAGTTGAATTTCTTTACCGAGTTATTGATATTTTAGAGCTTTACTTTTCATAAATGAATGTTATCTATATATATAAATTGGCAGAGGCAAAACAGTTCAGTACCTTTTTAATTAATTATTAACAAGAGTTATCAATAAAAAAATATTGAAAACACAACTTTTTTATATAGATACGTAAAGACAAAGCAGTTCAATATGATTATTTGCAAATTATCTAGCAACTTATCTTAGCTTCGCTCGAGTACTTCCCTAGGTACGTACATATAGCGTTGCCGTAGTTTAAAAGATCTTTTTAAGAAGAATAATCCAGTAATACATTGTTTACAAATAACTTTATTGGCTTCCACGGCGCATGCCAGTAAAACTCTAAAAGTATTTTTTCCGACATCTTCGACAATCATCGTCATTTTCAGCTAATTTGCAGAAAACTAAAGAATTATACATCGAAACCTTCCTCATGAATCACTTCGGTTATTGGTGAAAACCGTATGAAAATCTGTTTGATAGTTTTTGAGTTAATCGAGCTCAGACAGACAGACTGGTCGGGGGAATTTTATCATAATATACTAGTGACTCACCCTCGCTCCGTTCGGGTTCGTCCTTAGTGAAATTTTAGGTTTGTATGTATTTTTACTAACGAATAAAAAAAAATGAAATGAAAAATTTTGTCCAAAAAGTTAAAAAAAAATTGTGATAGACCACCCTTATCACTTAGGGATATGAAAATTTTTTATGTCCTGTTTTCAGACCTACTGAATATTCACACAAAATTTCATAAGAATCGGTCAAGCCGTTTCGGAGGAGTTTTGTTACAAATACTGTAACACGAGAATTTTATTTATTAGATAGATTAGATGTAGTGATAATAATTATGTTCGATTTTCAACCACTAGACGAACACAAGTATTTTAACATTTGAACTATCATTTAGGTGTATTTTCTTTTGTATCAGAAGTTTGGGACTTATTTCATTGTATTTGGTATATTGGATATGTTTCTTTCCTTATATTTCTCTTGGGGATGAGCCTTGATTTGTTAACTAAATTAAG